TGGAAGAGGGGTTTATGTTATTATGTAAAGGTTTTCTTCAGTTCACTTCCATTATCCTAATTAAAGGAAATTTTCTTATCATCTGTAAGTTGGTGAATGGTTAGATTCCATCTTGTGACCCTGAAATTTTTAATTTTTCTCTTATTTTTATAGTGTTTCAGTGGAAGTATCATAGGGCTGTCTCACAGGTGAAGTTAACAAGCCATGTGGGACTAGGAGTAATTACTCCTTTTGAACACATTTAAAATCACTATTAGCTTGAAAGTACCTGCCACATTTGCTAAAATCCTTGGCAATTCAGAAAAACATTATGCAACAGTGATGCTCTTGTGCTGGATAATATACTCTCCTATCAGAATGAAGTTTCTACATTTTTTCTAACTCTTGATAAATTTATCATGATGCTGAGTATTTTCTCTCGATCTTCAAATCACTGATCCTATCCGATGGCCAAAAAAAGATGGTCTATCTTATTTGCTGTTTCTTGGCTTACACCTAAATAAGGGTTAAATAGAACGTTGCTCAAAAGCTTAATCCATATTTCAAAGGTGTTTTACAGCAATGAAACAGGAGCCATGATTATTCAGTGGCGTTCAGGAGACCAGGTGACATAAGTTAGCCTGCTGAACCTGCCTGGGCTCAGAACATGAAAACATGGTACCTTGGTGTGCTGAGTACTTTGGTTTGGAGGAAACTTGGAGACTGCAGAGGCAGGAAAAGTTATCTCTCATCTTCCTCTGCCCGCCTTTTGTTCCTGAAGGAGGTCATAGAAACTAAAATTTCTTTCCTTTGAAATAAACCATAAAATTTAGAAAGGTCACTCTGACCTCATCCTTTCTCCCCTGGAAATAATCACAAGATAGATGGCCTGCCTTGGACTTGGAAGCATAGAACAATCTGCAGAGACAGTCTTTGGTCAGTCCACCTGCCTCGGTTTATGACCATTGGCCTGTACCCCCCTTGTATCCAATTATATTTCTGTGTTCTTCATCACATGTAAGCATAAAAATACATATTTTTTCCATTGGCCTTTGGGTCTTCATGTCTGAAGGTCCCTGTGTGACATACATCTTTGATAAATGAATTTCTTTCGCTTTTATTAATCAGTCTTTGGATCTGTGTGTCAGCCATGAACGTTGCAATGGATGAGGAAATGGTGTTACTTTTTCTCCCCTACTAAGTCTTTATTTTTGTTTAATCCTTTTGGAAACAGCTCACTTATACAAATGAAAGAAGGTAGTCTAGGTGAGTAGAATACACACTTTCTTCATTGTTGTACTATAAATTAACATACATGAATTGGTTTAAACGGACATTTCAGTCATTTATTCTAAAATTTAAAAAAAGGAAAACAGATGAAATTCAGCTACCCGGAAAGCTTCTGAGGTTTGATTATTCAAATGATTAAGATGCTATTTGTCAACTCTAGTTTACCATCCCTTTTAATTATATAGATAATCAAACTAAGAACTGCTAATTCTGTCTCCTAACTATTAATTGTTTGTAATTACCTACAGATTAAAACTGCATGTGCAATTAACTCTGAGAATTAATTGATACAAGGGGATTGATAAAAGGAAAGCAGAATGAACTTGGCACAAAAGAAGCTCTGGGGACTGGAGACGGCTGAACCCGGTGGTGTCTTTTGTTTTGTCGTGTCCTAATAAAGATGCATTACGCTTTCTTTGAGACTTCCTTAGGCTGTCTTGGAGGCAGTTGAATACACTAGTTCTTAACAGCGTTTGGTTTCCTGGTTGATTGAAACAGTATATCTGAAGTTTGAATTTCTATTGTCTCTTGCCAATATTTAGACGAATTGAACAAATCTGTCATTTGTGGTACGGAGGAAATGTATGTCATTACAGAAATTATAGAGTAGCGTGAATGTTCTTTTTCTTTTTAACTAGCTAAGACTCTTTTTACCTTTCTTTTCTTCTTTGCTCCTTCCCTGGTAAGAATATACCTGTGTATATAGAATCTTCTCAGTTTTCTGTGAGTCATTCGAGTAATTTAAATTGCTGAAGTAACTATACTCATTAGGTTTTAGAACTATCTTCCACCTGTGTAAATAACTGGCACATTGTTATCTACATTAATCTGAATACATATGGAAAATAAATAAAAGCCACCTCCAACTGAAAGGCATTTAGAAAACATTACGGTTATAAATGTCAAAATGATATTAGAAAGCAAGGAAAGAAGGTCTGTTGAAAAATTTCTGGTCCTGGAGAGAAGCAGAATTTTAGATCTATTTTAAAGGCTTTTCTGTTCTTTCATATATTTGTCAGTTGTAGTGCGTAGGATTTTTCACTTTTACAGTTTTGCTGGTTGGCCTTTCAGTCAGTACCAAAGTAGTGCTTGGGTCTGGGGGATCACGTACACACATGCTTGGGGGAAAGCATTGTATTTTGCTTTATGGAGAATACAAGTTGAAGACGTATAATTAAGGCTATGTATGACAAGGAGATAGAATACAGCAAAGTAGCATGAGCTTGTGGTATAATAATATTTTTATAAAGAGTCTGTAATAAGTATTGAGGAAATGTAGTCAGGAAGATAACACTGTGAGCAGTCATTTAATAAAAACTATTTTTCAGTGTTCGAGAATAACTGCTATTTAATTGACTCCTTGTTAAACCAATGTAACTATTTTAGTTTCTTTCCAATTCTTAGTATTGCATTTTCCCAGCTATTTAAATCTAACACTATTTTATTCTGTCCTGCTGGCTGACAAGTAGGACTACCAACGTTTTTATTTTCTCACCCACCAGCATGCGGCCTGTTCTTGTTCCCATGAGCACTTGCCTGCACATGCATCTGGAATTGAGAATCTACTTTTCCTTGGCATTGTCTGTGAAGGCCGTTGACTCTGGGAAGGTTGTGTGAAGATTTAGTTTGAAATATGACCTTGATTTTCTTCGAACTCTGAGCGTGTAACTTTCGACCGACTTAGTGGCGTAAACTTGAATTTGTTGCGTGTCACCTTGTGGGCTTGTCTTCTGAGGAGGGAGTCATTAGCATACATCAGGGTGTGAATGATTACCTTCAGGGCTTTACTGGAGGCTTTACGGCTTTCTGAAGTGGAAAAGTTATAGCTATATTTTCTAGTGTGATACCTATATACCGGAAAAAATAATGCATGGTCTTCTTGACCGCCTGAGCCTGTTTTGTGGGTAAACAAGATAAAATATCTGGAAATGCTGTGGACTCTGTTGTAAAAATAAGTTGTATAGCTTTGTGTTCTGCAGTGATCAGGAAGATCCCTGCTTTGCCTGTGAGATTTAACCTCTTGAGAGCAATTCTTAGACTGTTTACGTAGCTACTTTACTCACATTACTAATGAATCAGAAACACAGAACCATGCCAGGTAAGACACTGTCCTTGCCCCTGAAGAGTTTACTAATTTACAAGGCAGATTGGAGAGAGAAGCACAACTATCTAAAATATGTGAGAATGCTTATTGTGGAAGTACATTAAGGGAAGTAGGGGTGTCAGGCATAACGCTTGTGAGTTGGATAATGCTTTGAATTAATCAAGAAAGCTTCATAATCATGTGAGGGTTAATATACCTTTAATAACTCCTGGGTTATTCTTTTATACCTTCTTGGGCTTATAAAGGTCCCCAATTAAAATATAAATTGTGTGGCTTTTCCCTTGCTATCATCTTCTCAGATACTAATATTCTCAGGTCTTTACAAGCTCCTTACTATTGGCATTTGCTTTCATTAAAGAATTTCACTTCTTCCCTCAGAGTTTGATTGAAGTATATGATTTGTTATGGTGCATTTTCTAGAGATTTTGCTTTTTTGATTAAGGACAGAGACTCTTTTGACTGAATGGGAGAAATACATATAGAATTAAAATGTGGTAGGATGTGTGTGTATTTATTGGAATATATCTAATAAAACACATTTTCATGGTTTTATGTTACTTCTTTATCTCTCTGTAGGACACCTAACTTATGATACTATAAATAAATTGAACCAAGTAAATGCTAGAATGAATTACTTCTGAGTTTTTTCTATAGTCTATGAAATTAACCAGTCCATGAACAACTCTATTAAATTGAATGTTTCAGGAAAATATACGTATATGAAGAGGTATTAGAGGGAAAATTTGAAAATAGTTTAATTCATTTGGATGGCAGGATTGAATTAAAGTTTTCTCTTTTTAACACAATTAGTATTTCTGAGAAATAATCAGACAACTAAATCTCTTTTTTGGGGGAGTACTGGGGATTGAACACAGGGCTTTCATCATGAGCTAACGTCCTATGCCTTTTTATTTTTTCCTTGGGGATAGAGTCTTGCTAAATTGCTCAATTTCTCAGGCTAGGCTCACACTTGCACTTGCCTTGGCCTCCCGGAGTGCTGAGATTATAGGCACGCACCACCATGCCTGGCTCTGGACCTGTAAGTTTTAAACCTCCCCACAATGAAAAAAAAGTTACTGCAGAAATCCTATGAGACAACCACCACAAGTGAGAAGAAATATGGAGTATCTGCTGGCTAACCTTTTGCTCTTTCAGTACTTACCTTAAAACTTTGAATAAGTCCATTTACTTTGCAACTTCAAAGCTTGTGCCTTCATAATAATTCTGAATTTTGTTTTAAAGTGCTTATATAGTAAATAAGTTTTCCTTTCATTTTCATAAGTGCTATTTGCAAATATGATTTTGCTTTAACCTTCCTTTTAAACAGAAGTCAATGATCTTGAAGAGAAGAGAGGAATAAACCTATTAGCTTTCTGATGGGCACATTGTATGTAATAAAAACATGAGAGCTTCATTGTGCGAAGGAGCCAATGAATTGAAGCCTGTCTTTATACAATGCTATCACTTCTTCATTTGTCAGTGATGAGATGACAAAATGTGATTGTAACACAGAATGCTGAGCTCATAAAAGTGATTTGCTTCCCTCTGTGTAACATTAAACCATATGATTGGTGTGTACTCTTTTCTAGACAAATATTCTTTTAAACTGCATTGATATTTCTAACAGACAAACCATTTGATGATTGGAGAAGATTCGTGTCAAGAAAGTCTTTCCATTTGTCTCATGTCTCCAGTTGGAGTCTCTCTGGGGCATCAAGAATGTTTCAAGACTCTTGGACCGTAAGTATTTATAAAACTGAATCTAGCAAAATATTGGGTTAATTTCAATGAAAACATGAGATTTTACTATGTACCTGTTTCATTCCTAAGACCATTTTCTACTGATATACATCTCACAGTATTTTAGTTCTCTTATGTTTTGTGTAAGTCTTAATGCAAAATGTGTGTATTATTTTTTATTCAATGAGCATTGGTTAAAGTGACCATCACATGGCTTGGTTCAAATATGATAGTATAGCAACTGTTTTTGAATTACTACATGGACTAGCAAAATGGGTAATGGAGGCTTGTGGAGAATGAAGAGATTAGAAGCATGGTAATGGAAGAATTAAAAGAAATCCATAGTCAATTTCATGGCTGTTGTAGTTAGGATTTGCAAATGAAACAATACCATGCAGGACACATAATTTATAGGATTATTTTATAGTAGTCACCCAAAGAGTCAAGCACAAAAGAGTGCAGAAAATCTCTCCGCAAACTAAAGACCAAAAGAATCCAACTGAGGGCTTGGATCCCATGGCAATGTTCTGAATAAGTCCAGCTGAAAACCTAGAGCCCATAACAATGCCCCCCACAGGTCCAACTGGAGGCCAAGAGCCCATGACAATGTCTCATGCAGGACTGTGTCACAGATCTGTGCTAAGAAGTTCCCAAGGTCAGTGGTGGAAGCTAGAAAGTCTGTGCCAGTGGGATGAAGGATCTGTGTCAGTAGGCTGGGGGATCTGCACTGGAGCCAGGATGTGATGGTCAAAGTAAGGACCAGAGCTCCTCCGAAAAGTACCACAGGCATCCACAGCAACAGCAAGGTCCCGAGCTCCTCTGATGATGAGAATAGTCGAGTTCATATCAGGAAAGCCAGCGTGACAAGCTTCTTCAGAACACTGAACAGAGCACCATCTTTCCTTCTGGAGCCAGGAAGCAAAGCTCAAAGTAAGGACCAGGGCTCCCCCAAAGTGAACTGTAGCCAGTCTCTGTGATATCAAGGTCCTGAGCTCCTTTGACGATGAACCGAGTTCATAGTAGGAAAGCCAGCATGACAAACTCCTCCAGAGAACCAACAGCTCCACTTCTTCCTCTCCAGTTCTCCTTTTTACCTTGTTGGCAACAATCCGAGGGAGGGGCCTCCCATACACAGCCCCATGCTCATTCAGTCCAGCTGGGTGTTACAAGTTGACCACCAGTTGTCAATCCACCACAATGACTCACTCAGTGAGGGTGTTTTTGAATGAAGTCTGTAAATGAGGCCCAGTGAACCTGTGGCCTGAAAGTAGAATTGGGGCTTTATTTATTTATTTGTAAATACACATACTAGAAGAAACTGATGTATTCTGACTTCTTTAGCAACAATTTCTCAAAAGACAATAAAGCTTCTATTTCATAGCTTTCTGTTTATAGTGTCTGTGTATGGTTTCTGTCTGGGTTTCTCACATCTCTCGTGTGTTCTGTGTTTAAATGTGTCTGTCTCATTTTTTTATCTTTTTCTTTTCATCTTTTCATATCACTGCCTTTTTTCTTGACTTGCCACTTGGTGCCATAACAAAATATCACAGATTTGAAGGATGAAATAAGAAAAATCAATTTTCTCACAGTTCTGGAGGCTGAGAGTCAAAGATTAAGTTGCTGCCAGAATTAGTTTCTCCTGAGAGTACTTGGTTTGCAGACAGATACCTTTGCACTGTGTCTGTGTCCTTGCATGCCCCTTCCTCTGGAAGCACGCATCCTTGCTCTTCCTCTTGTTTTCTGTCTCTCTTTCGACAAGGACATCAGTCCTGTTGGACTAGAGCTTCATCCTTATGCTTTCAACGGGGCTTGATTAGCTCCTTAAAGGCCCTATCTCTAAGTGAATTCACACTTAGGATCAGAATCTTCACATGTGGATTTTGGGAGGACACAGTTCAGCCAAGAACATCATAAGACAGCAGAAATATACTACATTTCCTCCATCTATTAAATAGTTCTTAATGTATCATTTAAAAAATGTTGTTTTTTGTATTTTCCTGTGAACCAAAATTTTAAAATTATGTCATTCATACTTAGATTATGTTGTTAAGTTCTTTATGAATCAAATTTAGTAAAACTAAACTATTGCTATCCTTTTTATATAGGGAAATTATATGGATGATAAGGAAAATTATATGAATTCAGGCAAAAAAATTATATTTCTTAAAATTCTACCAGTTATACCAACTCTTTTTGGGACATATTCACCAACTTGCTATTTTCAGAATGTATTTATTAAACATAGTGTATGACTACACTGTCATCGCTAGCGAGTGGGATCTGTAATTCTAATGCCTATATATCCTTATCAAAAATAGAGTCCATGAAAGTAGTTTTCATTACATTCTAGGACCACAAAATGGGTTTCTTTTAACCAATGAAATACCTTAGCATTTTTCTTTGGAGAATGTTCCGGAACCATGTCAGTAAAAATAAGAATTATAAAGAATCTAAGGAGATCTTTTTCTTTTCAACTGGAAGTGTCAATGTCCTTTTATAATTCTTTACCAAAGTATACTGTCACAAAATTGTGACACTTGAAGGATTTTGTTTGCATAATGAAGAGTAGTAAAGTCACTTTTATTATGTGAAACATACGCGCACATTTCTTTTCCTACATAAATACAAAAGATTTCCTACATCATCTCGTCTTCTCTCTGCTCTTTTCTTCTCACTTTCAAAATAAAATGTTAGAGGAGTTGTTGTAATTATTTTCATCACTTGATTTTCTCACTATAACTTATATTTGATGAAAGATGATCATCGGATTTTTCTATGAATTAGCTCAAATCATCTCTACTTCTATGTTTAAAATTTCTGTTTGTTCAGATGTTTTCCTAATTACTGAAAATTAAAAAATTAAAATTACTTTTAAAAAATTAAAAAAAAATAACTTTTAAAATTAAATTTACTTAAAATTAAATTACTTTTAATTTAATTAAATGATAATTAAATTACTTTTTAATTTTTTTTTTTTTTTTTTTGTTTTTCTCCGGTACCGGGAACTGAACTCACGACCTTGCGCTTGCCAGGCAGGTGCTTTGCCGCTGAGCTAAATCCCCAGCCCCTAAATTACTTTTTTTAAAAAAAGTCCTGTAGTGTGCTTGTGACTAACTCAAGTCCTGAATGAATAGTTAAGTGACTAGGATTGCTTTGGGATTTTGAAACAGCACCTTAGCCATTTAGTCTTACCTATTTTTTTGTTCATTTTTTGATATTAGTATATGGGGTTGTGTTCTCCAATATTATCCATTATCTTCAAACTTTCAATTTTAACTTGAAATGCATATTTCTTTTTCTATGACGTAATAAAGTTTTACATCTTTATGACACAATGGCATAGATATTTTTTTTTTTTTTTTCCGGTACCGGGAACTGAACTCATGACCTTGCACTTGCCAGGCAGGCGCTTTGCCGCTGAGCTAAATCCCCAGCCCCGGCATAGTTATTTACTGTGAAAAAATATGCTTAATTTAAAGGCCCACGTTTCAATACTCCTGTGGTCTTACAGCAGTATCAACTTTGACTGAAGTAAGTTTTTATTATGATCACTTATTTTATTTCATTGCATCTTTCCTTCTAGACAGATATTTCTACACGTATTCTAGTTAAGAAGATATTTTTTGGGAAAAATAAAGGAAGTACCCATGCCAAATTCCTTTTTTTTTGTTGTTGTTGTCGTCTTTTTGAGACAGGGTCTCGCTATGCAGTTCAGGTCGGGCTTGAGCTCACTTTGTAGCCCAGGCTGGTCTCAAACTCACAGTGATGCTCCTACTTCAGCCTCCTGGGTGCTGGGATTATAGGCATGCACCACCGTGCCTGGCAATGAATAGGTCAATATACATATTCGACTATTCTCTCAAAGATTTAGCAATGAATAGGTCAATATACATATTCGACTATTCTCTCAAAGATTTAGAACAGAGAACTCTTAGCAAATGCACGATGTGGATTATAAGGTTGCTTGGATTTTCTTGGGTGCTGTCACCTAATAATATTGTAGCCTCATCCACAGTAAATGATTTTCAAGCGTGGCAAGGTAGGTAAGTTAATAAGATTTCACATTTGTATTTTGGTACAATTTAATTTTTTTAGAGAAAAACCTTAGTGAATGTTTCTCATTTTTTTTATTATAAAAGATCATTGGAATTTTACTTTTAGTAGTCACTTTGCATCATTTCTTTACTGTAGAAACCAAAAGATTCAACCCAGTTCTCTATCAGAAATGCCCCTTTGTTCTGAGATCTCCTTAGGTGGGAAAGACACTTGAGGAGCTTGTGGCCCGTATGTATAAATAACAGAGTTGACAGTAGTTCTAGTTCTGCAGTTGCAGGGAACATAAGCATTCTTGAGATAAGCTAGAGGGTAATTGTTTCCAAAACCTGAATGAAAGCATGGAATTTGAGCACAGAAAGCATTTTAGCAGATATTAGGTTAAGGAAATGAACAGACCGTACCTGCCCTGGGGAATCCCTGTCTCCCCCCGCAACACCACCACCTCTTGGGAAGCTAAGTACACTTGTTCTTTAGTAGAGGAACATTAACTAAATTTCTTAAAAAGTAATGATAGAGAACAAACTGTAAAAAGGCAGCCAAAAAAGGCAAACATCTGTTACTGAACATGTCTCACTTGACTTCCTTTTAATGTTCTTAGGAATAAATTTATGAACTAGGGAAGGTTTAGCACTAATTAGCTTGTTTTCATCAAACACAATGCACCAGACATGGATGTTGAATATGAATGAACACTTCAATAGTAATAATAATTACATAAAAAAAATGCATTGGGAGTCAGGGTTGTGGCCATAAATTTTGCATATTATTGTGGCTGCTACTATTGTATTGACGTAGACTGAGTATAATTTTCTTTTTTTAAATGATCAGGAAAAAATCCTTCTAAAATATTGTGTATTAATTAAACAATAGATGAATTAGGCAAAATAATTCTTTTCAGTTATTCACCTGTAGTCTAATGAGATGTTAGAATGATTTGGGATAAC